TGGTTTGGAGTGCCTTCACTCGCCCCCTATCATTCGGTGAAGCTGTGTTCGACACATTTTTTTATAACATAGACGCTGGATATCATTGCACTGCTGCGGACCCAGTGTATTTGGACGTGGACATATATATTATATATATGTATAGATATATATATAGATATCTTATTAATATTATAAACATGAAAGCTTGTGAGTATGGATGGATGTTTGTTACTCTTTCACGCAAAAACTATTCAACGGATTTTGCTAAAACTGTACAGTAATATAGCTTATACATCAGAATAACATATTGGCTATAGATTTCTTGCGAGTGAAACTGTGGACATAGCTAGTCATTACATAGTATAAAACAAAATAGCGGTCGCTGTCCGTCCGTCCCTATGTATGCTTAAATCTAAACTACGCAACGGATTTTGATTCGTTTTTTTTTAATAGATAGAGTGATTCTAGAGAAAGGTTTATATGTATAATACATGTACATCCGGGGGAAGCCGGGGCTAGTAGCTAGTATATTACAATTTACTAACATAGTTTATAAGTTTACTAATATAATAAGGATGTAATCTGAAATAAATAGATAACTAAATTATTAGTGTAATATGGTCTACGTGCTCGTTAGTACATAGTTATCAACACTATAAAAACCCCGAATGCAAACAGTATGACAGATTTCAATGTATTTTCCATACAGTCATTATTACTACTATAAGTAGTAACATAATATAATAACAATGTTTCAGAACAATTCACGCAGCTCCATCTAGTCCCAAGCTAAGCAGTGTTATGGTTACTAGACAAATAATATAAATACAACATCCAGACCGATACAAACCATCATACAAATACAAATATCCTGAATACAAATGTTTATTCCGTGCGAGGAATCGAACCCGCGACCATTTTCCTATGGCGTTTCCTATGTATATTATTTACGTATTAACAAAACTTATTTATATATATACATACTATCTGTCCCGGCAAACGTTGTTTTGCCTTAAAATAAAAAAATAAAATTTAGGGGTGGACTACCCCTAACATTTAGGGTGATGAAAAATAGATGTTGGCCGATTCTCAAACCTACTCACCATCACCATCGCACACAAAATTTCATGAGAATCGGTCAAGCCGTTTCGGAGGAGTATGGGAACGAAAACTGTAACACGAGAATTTTATATATAGGATATATATAATTATATATATATGTATATTAGGAACGATTGTCAAGGCATTTAAATGTAAATAAGTAAATAAAAATATACAATAATAATAATAATATTTTTTGTATAATGATAATAATAACTGTGCTTCTGCCGGAGATAAGTTGCCATCTCCTCTCCTTAATAGGAAACACCCAGACCGATACAAACAATCATACTCATGAATACAAATGTTTGTGCCGTGCGAGGAATCGAACCCGCGACCAGCGGACGTAAAGCGGTGTGCTAGACCGCTAGACCACCGAGGTCGTCGAACAATAAAAGAACTATTTAAATTTAAATTTATAATAAAAAATAAATTTCTCATTATCCACTACACGGATAAATATTAATATCATGTTTTTATAAGCATCCTTATCCAAATAAATATGTTATTTGTTATAAGTATATAATTTTGAGCAAAATTCTCCTTTACATCTTTTGATTTCAACGACACTTTAGGTGATATCTTAATTTTAATAAAAGAAGAACTCCAAATATTCGGCACTTGCGAAGCCGGTGCGGGTTGTTATTAACTTGCGGCGATGCATACACAAGGCACTGTATTATATTACAAATAACAAAAATAAAAAAGTAGATACACAATTACATTGGTTACTCAGCAAAATACAATATAATACAGATAAAATAAAAAAAACGGTGTGAGTAACGCAGTGTGAGCATCGTCTATAAGCAAAACGGCAGCACCTCAGTGTATTGTTTGCGACATACGAGCAGCAAACCACTGATATACAGGCACTGTCCAGAGACATACGTGAGGACGCATGTAACAAGACCGCCACATCTAATCAGCCCTATTACATTATGATTAATACTAATTATAATAAAAATCAATGATAACAACAGAAATAGTATAGTTATAAATAATATATGGAAAATTATTAACAATTGTTATTATAAAATAAAAAGTAAAGTTATCGCATAGTAGAGTGTGGAATGTTGAGTATCTTATAAAATATGTAAGTTAGTAAAGCAGACAACTTTATACGAAGTATATCTTAGTATAAAACATCTAAACTCAGATATAAAATCAAAAATAATTTATTCATGTAGGACATTTTAGATCTAATTGAGAAGAACTGACAAGAAACTCAACTGAACTTCTTTTTTTCTTAAGTCAGTTTATTTACATTGTGTCTATGTCTAACATTAAGTGAAAATCCCGAGCATGAACAACTATTGCCATGCACGTTTGTCTTTGCTCAATAAATATGAATGAACGAATTTAAATTTATATAAAAGGTAAATTTTTATATCCATAAAAGACTCATTGACTTTTTGTAAATAATACTTAGGTATCATAATCATCAATTGATACTTCAGGAAAATTTTTTAAACAAATACCTTTGTTTGATACATAACCCGCTGGACAAAATGTCGAGTGTAATGTATCATTTCTAATTATATCATTTAGTAACATGATGGCATCTGTGGTATTAACTACTCTGTGCGTGCTAGCGGCGATCGTTGTAGGAGCGGGTACGGTGCTAGTAGGCAGTGCATAACTGCATACTAGACATAGCCATGCGTGCAGTATTAGTAGAATTATCTTCATTTCTGTAGTGATCTGAAAATATACAGTGAGAACTAGTTATAACAATGGTTTACAACTATAGAATGGTTTTTACGACTTAACCGTAAGAGGTTGAGTATATGTTGTTTCTGATGGTCGCGGGTTCGACTCTTTGCATAGCAAACATTTGTATTCATGAGTGTAACGGATTATATCGGTCTGGGTGTTTTCTAGGTATTTTTTTCACAGATGATAATGGAATGGCGCACCCGCCTTCGCTAACGGTTTACGCTGACGGGACACCAGTGATATCTTATCGTCCTCCACTGGTGCAGAGCATGATGTCAGGTCAGTTTGCCCATCGTGATTAAATAACCAGAAATTAACCAGGATGGTTTCCAGGGGGAACCGCGTGGAGGTCGACCTAACATGGTAAATTGTAAGCAATGAGAACCGTGGGACTAGATAGCGCTGTGTGAATTGTCCAATGATTTTATTACATATACATGCCTATGAATATACTGACAACAAAAATACTGCTTGTAAAATGAAAAATAAATTAGAAATACCCAACATTATGTATTCATTAACTGTTTATTGCACCAAACTTCTGATACTAGATTATACTGAACAGAAATTATGACGGCCAAAAGTAGGTCTTTACTACACTAAGACTAAAAGCAACAAACAAGTTTCTTGCTTATTCTTCTCGTGATGAACCCGCATTCCGAATAAGCGGTAGAATAAAAAAATTTGACTATTCAATAGTAAAGTAAAAAAGTAAGTATATTAAGTTTATTTGAATATAGATTATTTCTATTTCTATTTCTACTGTACTGTTTGCTTCTGTCAAAATTGCAACAGCATATGCCTGGGCTCACTCTATTGTCCCTAATTTGAATTTAAAAATGAATCTGTATCTTTGTAATCATTTACAAGCTCATTTGAAAAGAATAAGAGCTGAATTTCTCGTCAGTGTTTCACAGCTTGAATGCACTGCGAACTGTTGGTAGTTTTTGACATTTGAAAAGAGTCTGGGCATAGACATGAATAAAGAAATTTTGTTTTGATTTGAGTGGATGAGAAACACATTTCGTCAAACACAAAGGATATGGGAATAGAATAGAATAGAATAGAAAACCATTTATTCAAATAAACTCACATTGAAGCACTTTTGAATAGTCATTACATTTTTGTAATCTACCGCTCATTCGGAAAGCTGTCTCATCACAAGAAGAACGAGCAAGAAAATTGCGTGTTGCTCTTTTAAATAATTTTATTATTACTTTACATTTTTAAGTTTAAGTGTGTGAATACAAACCACCAATTAGCACTAATTCAATTAAATACTCAAATAGAAAAAATATTGAATATATAACCAACTGGTTAAACAATTAATAAGAGGAAATCAGTCATAGTGGGATAAAAAGAGACAGTTGACGATATTAAATTAAAATTAACAATATTACCTTATGTAGTGTTTACTGGTGTCGGCTGAGGCAATTTGACTGTAGGTCTGTCTGTCACACCAACATTTATAAGGGGAATGAAATGTTATCCTGTTTATTAACAATACAATATACCTAATAAAATATAGGTACATAATGAATTGGCAGTGTTTGTGATTAATGTAATATTATATTGTTTTTTATTTATTAAATTCTTTTACTTTGTGCTCACCAATACCAATTTAGCTCATCGTGACAAATTCACCAAGAATTTATCGCGTCAGCATATTTTAAAACACTACGGATATCACGTTATCATGTGACATCCGTGATACCACTCATGCCTAGCCATTCCAGAGGACTATGATGTCGTGCCTCTTATCCACGAAGTTATATTCAGAAATATAAAAAAATGCAATTAAATATTAGGCGTAAATTTAATATAAAAAATTCTCGTGTCACAATGTTTGTAATAAAATCCTTCGAAACGGCTTGACCGATTCTTATGAAACTCTGTATATTCGGTAGTTTTGAGAATAGAACGTAAACTGCTTCTATACTCATACATATGAAAAGGATGATCCACATAAACAAAAGTAAAAAAAATTGGTCAATTATTTTAATTTTTTTTTATTCGTTAATAATCATCACAAAATTTCTTTCCAAAATCAATTCTTATTTTTAGAAATATTTTAATATTTGGAAAAACAAATTTTGCAGGGTTAGCTAGTAAATACATAAAATGTTACAAAGCAGTCTTGGAGTTATTGAACAGAGAAATGAAATGATAAGACAGAGAAATTACAATATATATTGTTGTAGTTATTTCCTTAAATTTGTCTTTAAATCAATATAATTAAATTAACAAATTACTAATGATATAACATACATCTATTTATATTACAATTATTACTCATTCAAAATTCAATTCAAAATATCTTTATTAATGTAGGTCTATTACAGACTCTTATGATATGTCAAATCTACCGTCAGTTCGGAATGATATCGAGATGAAAAGAACTGACAAGAAACTCAGCTCGTATTCTTTTCAAGTAAATGTTTTACATGTTTACAATAATACAGATTCATTTAAATTCAAATTTGGATGAATACAGTGACCAGCAGCATATGAAATTAATTAATAATATAATTAGCATATTAATTAATTAGTATCAAATCTATATATATATATGTAATATATATAACTCTAAAGTAACTGACGTAGTGATCTATCAACGTACAGCCCAAACCACTGGATGGTTAAGGCTGAAATTTGGCATGCAGGTAGATGTTATGACGTAGGCATCCTCTAAGCTAAGGATTTTGATTAATTCTACTCCCAAGGGCATAAAATAGGGGATGAAACTTTGTCAATTTTAAACCGATCGGGCTGAGACTTTGCATGCATAAAGCTACTATAACGTAGGCATCCCCTACGAAAGGATTTTGATAAATTTCACCCCTAAAGGGATAATCACATCAGTCACTTCCGTCTTTTCTGTCACCTCAGTTATTTCCCTTCTGTCACTTCTTTCACTTCTTTCACTTCTTTCACTTCTTTCACTTCTTTCACTTCTTTCACTTCAGTCAATTCAGTCACCACATTCACTTTATTCACTTCAGTCACATCAGTCGTTTCAGTCACTTAAGTCAATTCAGTCATCTCAGTCACTTCAGTCCCTTCTGTCACTTCATTCACTTCAGTCACATCAGTCGTTTCAGTCACTTAAGTCAATTCAGTCATCTCAGTCACTTCAGTCCCTTCTGTCACTTCATTCACTTCAGTCACTTCAGTCCTTTCAGTCACTTCCGTCGCTTAACTCACTTCACTCACTTCACTCACTTCAGTCACCACATTCTCTTTATTCTCTTTAGTCACTTCAGTCACTTCAGTCACTTCAGTCACTTCATTCACTTCATTCACTTCATTCACTTCATTCACTTCATTCACTTCATTCACTTCATTCACTTCATTCACTTCACTCACTTCACTCACTTCACTCACTTCACTCACTTCACTCACTTCACTCACTTCACTCACTTCACTCACTTCACTCACTTCACTCACTTCACTCACTTCACTCACTTCACTCACTTCACTCACTTCACTCACTTCACTCACTTCACTCACTTCACTCACTTCACTCACTTCACTCACTTCACTCACTTCACTCACTTCACTCACTTCACTCACTTCACTCACTTCACTCACTTCACTCACTTCACTCACTTCACTCACTTCACTCACTTCACTCACTTCACTCACTTCACTCACTTCACTCACTTCACTCACTTCACTCACTTCACTCACTTCACTCACTTCACTCACTTCACTCACTTCACTCACTTCACTCACTTCACTCACTTCACTCACTTCACTCACTTCACTCACTTCACTCACTTCACTCACTTCACTCACTTCACTCACTTCACTCACTTCACTCACTTCACTCACTTCACTCACTTCACTCACTTCACTCACTTCACTCACTTCACTCACTTCACTCACTTCACTCACTTCACTCACTTCACTCACTTCACTCACTTCACTCACTTCACTCACTTCACTCACTTCACTCACTTCACTCACTTCACTCACTTCACTCACTTCACTCACTTCACTCACTTCACTCACTTCACTCACTTCACTCACTTCACTCACTTCACTCAGAATAGAATAGAATAGAATAGAAAATCATTTATTCAAATAAACTTACATTGAAGCACTTTTGAATAGTCATAACATTTTTTTTTTTTTTTTTTAATCTACCGCTCATTCGGAATGCTGTCTCATCACAAGAAGAACAAGCAAGAAACTTGTGTGTTGCTCTTTTAAATAATTTATTCTTACTTACAATTTAAGTTTAAGTGTGTGAATACAAACCACCGATTAGCACTAATTCAATTAAATACTCAAAAAGAAAAAAATATTGAATACATAACCAACTGGTTAAACAATTAATAAGAGGAAATCAGTCATAGTGATTAGAGCAGACCAGTCCCTACAAGCAGCACCCGTTCACGAGTATGACGGATGAGCCAGCCATCACTGCGCTCGACCATATTTTAGGGAGCCCAATGACCCGGCCCACCACGCCGCCACAAGTCTGGACATTTTAGTGAGCATGACTACTCAAAATACCAGACCACGTCATAGCTACTCACAATTGCCATCTGATGTTTATAGTATTCACATTTCACATAAGAATGCATGCGGCAATTAATACAAAACCCGCTACGCTTTCATATTTCTAAAATAATTGAATCAAGAAAGCAATGAGATAAACAAATTATAACGTTGTATGCTAATAAACTAATTATTTACTTAACTCACTTCATTCACTTCATTCGCTTCATTCGCTTCATTCGCTTCATTCGCTTCATTCGCTTCATTCGCTTCATTCGCTTCATTCGCTTCATTCGCTTCATTCGCTTCATTCGCTTCATTCGCTTCATTCGCTTCATTCGCTTCATTCGCTTCATTCGCTTCATTCGCTTCATTGGCTTCATTCACTTCATTCACTTCATTCATTTCATTCACTTCAGGCACTTCTGTCACTTCGTTCACTTCGTTCACTTCATTCACTTCATTCACTTCATTCACTTCATTCACTTCATTCACTTCATTCACTTCATTCACTTCATTCACTTCATTCACTTCATTCACTTCATTCACTTCATTCACTTTAGTCACATCAGTCATTCAGTCATTTCAGTCTTTCAGTCATTTCAGACACTTCAGTCATTTCAGTCACTTCAGTCATTTCAGTCATTTCAGTCACTTCCGGCCGTTCTGTCACTTCATTCACTTCATCACTTCACTCACGTCACTCACTTCAGTCACTTCACTCACCCCACTCACTTCAGTCACTTCACTCACTTCAGTCTCTTCAGTTCTTTCAGTCACTTCAGTCACTTCAGTCCCTTCTGTCACTTCATTCACTTCAGTCACTTCAGTCCTTTCAGTCACTTCCGTCACTTAACTCACTTCACTCACTTCAGTCACTTCATTCACTTCATTCACTTCATTCACTTCTTTCACTTCAGTCACCACATTCACTTTATTCACTTCAGTCACATCAGTCACTTTATTCCCTTCTGTCACTTCAGTCACCACATTCACTTTATTCACTTTAGTCACTTCAGTCATTACTGTCACTTCAGTCATTTCAGTCTTTCAGTCATTTCAGTCACTTCAGTCATTTCAGTCACTTCAGTCCATTCTGTCACTTCAGTTACTTCACTCACTTCCGGCCGTTCTGTCACTTCATTCACTTCATCACTTCACTCACGTCACTCACTTCAGTCACTTCACTCACTTCACTCACTTCAGTCACTTCACTCACTTCAGTCTCTTCAGTTCTTTCAGTCACTTCAGTCACTTCAGTCCTTTCATTCACTTCAGTCACTTCAGTCCTTTCAGTCACTTCCGTCACTTAACTCACTTCACTCACTTCACTCACTTCACTCACTTCACTCACTTCACTCACTTCACTCACTTCACTCACTTCACTCACTTCACTCACTTCACTCACTTCACTCACTTCACTCACTTCACTCACTTCATTCACTTCATTCACTTCATTCACTTCATTCACTTCATTCACTTCATTCACTTCATTCACTTCATTCACTTCATTCACTTCATTCACTTCATTCACTTCATTCACTTCATTCACTTCATTCACTTCATTCACTTCATTCACTTCATTCACTTCATTCACTTCATTCACTTCATTCACTTCATTCACTTCATTCACTTCATTCACTTCATTCACTTCATTCACTTCATTCACTTCATTCACTTCATTCACTTCATTCACTTCATTCACTTCATTCACTTCATTCACTTCATTCACTTCATTCACTTCATTCACTTCATTCACTTCATTCACTTCATTCACTTCAGTCACTTTAGTCCCTTCTGTCACTTCAGTCACCACATTCACTTTAGTCACATCAGTCATTTCTGTCACTTCAGTCATTTCAGTCTTTCAGTCATTTCAATCACTTCAGTCATTTCAGTCACTTCAGTCCATTCTGTCACTTCAGTCACTTCACTCACTTCACTCACTTCACTCACTTCATTCACTTCATTCACTTCATTCACTTCTTTCACTTCAGTCAATTCTGTCACTTCACTCACTTCATTCGCTTCATTCACTTCATTCACGGAGTCGGTGCCGGTGTGGGTGTGGGTGTCGGTGTCGGCGTCGGCGTCGGTTTCGGCATCGGCGTGGGAGGCGGTGCATCTTCATTTAATATGCCGAAAAAAATTTTCCCTCGTTATAGGACTGTTTTCCAAAATTAACCCAAAATTGGGGAAAATTTTTAGAGCTGACATAGAGAGATATTGATATGATATTAGAGAGTATTCCAAGTCTGTAGGAACCTATAAGCTACGAGGTTGCCATGTGCAGCTAAAACGCGGTTGAAAATATCCCAAATTATTTCCAAAATCTAAATCACTCCAAGCTTTGTGTTGCTATCTTGGATTTTCCCTAGTGGCCGGAGCCTAGAGCCTCCACGCAGACGAAGTCGCGGTCGCAGCTAGTAAAATAATAAAATTGATGTACCTACATCAAAGTTACGTAAATATTGAGTTAATTGTAGCAACCATTATGGAAGGAAATAACATCAGTACCAATTTTTTTTTATTTGCTTGTTTGGCCTATTGTCATACTTCACTACATAGACTCGTCAGGGACAAGAATTGAAGGATATTCTTAGGAGCGATGGTTTTTATCTACTCAGGATAGAGAGTACTCTTTCCAAAAGAGATATTTCACTTATGGTATGCATGAGTGGGCTACAACCAAATACGATGTGTCGTGGCGTTTCCTCTTACGTTTGGCAAAATCTACAGATTTTTGCCATCGGTACCTAACAGCATACCCTTACGGCCTATAAATGAACGATATTGTATAAAACTGAATAAATTTAAATTATTATTATGTTATTATTTTTCTCTGCCACTAGAGTGTCTGTAAGAGTGTGTGTGGGTGGGCGTGTACGTATGTGTGCGCGCGCGCATGTGTGCGTGCGTGCGAGCGCGTGTGTGTATGTGTGAGTGTGTGTGTACTTATTGTGTGCCTGGTGTGACTGGTGTTATATCCTTTTCATCTTATTATTATTATTATTTGTATTGCAGTCGTATATTTTTTTTTATTTTATAATAATATCTGCCGCTTCTTTTGTGGCGCATCCTTTTGACCTATTTTATTTGTTTTTTTATCCTGTAGATGTCGTGTATTACAATCGCTAGCTTTTACCACCGCACCGCTCGTTATCGACAGGGAATTCATCCCCACACACTAGAATCTAAGTGGTCTCGGACAGTGCGGTTTCAGAGTAGCTTCCTCCCGCGTACACTTATATTGTGGAATGAACTTCCCGCCGAGGTTTACTCTAGAGACTACAGCATGGGGTTTTTCAAGAAGGGTATATTAAGGTTTCTTAAGGGTAGGCAACGCGCAGTTGATACCCCTGGTGTTTCAGGCGTCCATAGGCTACGGTAACCATTTACCATCAGATGAGCCGTATGCTTGATTGCCACCATCATAGTATAAAAAAAGGCAATCTCTTCCAGAATTATTATATTATATATTATCCTCCATCATAGTATAAAAAAAAGCAATCTCTTGAGAGAAAAAAAAAACAAAAGTGGTAGGGTATTTAAAAAACCCCATGCTGTGGGTTTTTCAAGAAGGGTATTGTGACTAGAGCGTGAACAGAATGACTATAAATAAAAATCTTTAACAATTGTGTATGACATTGTATATTTCCCAAAAGGGCTCACAGCGAAGAAGAAACAAGTCAAAAATGACATATAATAATAACTTCAGTACAATTTACACAGCGCCATCTAGACCCAGGTTAAGCTAGATAAAGGTTGTGTTACGGGTACTAGATAACTGATATAAATACATAGATCTTTTTTTCGTACATACATATTATGCATAGAAAACACCCAAACCGATACAAACAATCATACTCATGAATAAAAATGTTTATGCAGTGCGAGGAAATGAACCCGGGACCATCGGAAGTAAGACTAGACCACCGAGGTTAAGGTGACTCTGTGGTCTATTTAAGCACTTTTTAATAGTCATCACATTTTTTTACCCTCATTCGGAAAGCTGTCTCATCACAAGAAGAACGAGCAAGAAACTTGTTTGTTGCTCTTTTAAATAATCCTTGTAAGTTTACATTTTTCAAGTCGAAACGTGTAAATACAAACTAGCACTAATTTATTAGGGTCAAATATGAATACACAATAAGATCAATATAATCAATGATAAATCAGTCGTAGTATTTATATTTGCTTTTATAATACACAAGCTACCCACCCCAGCTTCGCATGGATGTACATGTATTATACATATAAACCTTCCTCTTGAATCACTCTATGTATTTAAAGAAAACCTTTTGAAAATCCGTTGCGTAGTTTTAAAGATTTTAGTACACATAGGGATCAGACATCGACAGCGATTCTGTTTTATCCTATTTAGTGACGAAGCATATTTTATGAGCTGCGTTACATATTGAAAATCGGTGAAATTAGATCTTTTACCAGCTAATATGTTGAAAATGTATCTAACAATAGTCATAAATATCGTCCATATATATAGTCTTCATACAATTGTCGCCAAACTTGATGTAACCGTTTGGACATCGTTCAGGTACCGAAAACAGCCTTGCATACAATATATAATCCTCTTTATATAAAATAGATTGTGAAAACGCTATGTCAATTAGGAAAAATACGACTTCGCAGCTACTGTTGAAGTTGTACGCAAGTGTTGTGGTTTCGTGACAGTCGACTGTCGCTAATAACGTGGACAGCAACAAGGCAGGCAGCATTTTTATAATCTGTGGATCAGAATGAACATTTTTAATTTTGACTTTTTTTATCAAGGTTCAATTTGCAATTATATTAATAAATATAAATAATTATATTACTGACTGATACTGAATTATTTATATAAATATTCATTTAATAAAAAGAGCAACACACAAGTTTCTTGCTTATTCTTCTTGTGATGAATCTGCATTCCGAATGAATGGTAGAATCAAAATATGACTTTTCAAAAGTGCTTGTAATGAGTTTATTTGAATAAAGATTATTTCTATTTAAATAAATATCTTACTATATAGCTTTTTCATTATCTGTGAAACAAAGGAAAATCGTTTTTCTTTTTTTACTTTAAAAAAAAATGTCTTACTAATATCGCAGATAACATAATATTACTTACTAATATTGTAAAACTAAACTACTGAACGGATTTTGATGACACATTACAGTAATATAGCTTAAACTCTAATTTAAAAAGATATTATGTAAATTCAAATTCAAAATTCAAAATATCTTTATTCATGTAGGTCTATTACAGACTCTTATGATATGTCAAATCTACTATGTAGTCTAAATTGTGCGAAATATAATGACAAAGATCAAGTAAGTGTGATGCAGGTGAAGTTGCGCGAGAAACACAGCCACGCGAGTGGCTTGTTGTTGTTATAGTTGTATGTGTTGTTGTTGTGGTCGTTTGTGTTGTTGTTGTGGCACGCTGGGCTAGTGTAGTGGAGTGTAGTGCAATGCGTGGGTGTGTGCGTGCGCAGGCGCCAAAAACCACCGGCACTTCGTGGGGTTCCTGGCGAGCCTGGTGGTGATGTGCGTCGTGGTATAAATCCTTACTTAAAATAATTTGATGTAACAATATTTATGAAATTATATAACTAACTGTAAATGAGATGTTATGTTATAAAGATCAAATATTACTTAATTGTAATGGACAAGTTCTAAAAAAAGTTTTTGCCACGCACACCCACATTGTGGAATCACCTTCCAGCAATGGTATTTCCGAACCGAAACGATATGGAAACCATCAAGAAAATAGCTTATTCCTTTTTAAAAGGCCGACAACGTACTTGCAATTCCCCTGGTGTTGCGGGTGCTCATGGGTGGCGGTAATCACTTCAAGTGACACCATCAAGTGAGCCGCATGCTCGTTTGTCCCCTGTGTTATAAAAAACAACACACTCGACTGATTTTGAAAATACTTTGAATAAATGAAATTTTTGTTTACTTTTGAAGCACACAAGGCACAGTATATAGACAACAAAATTGATCACAACATTGATCAGTCAACAAAATATAATACAGGTACAAAAAAAACCGTGTGAGTAACGTAGTTTTTTTTTCGGACTACTCTACTCTCTGTACGCGGTGCCCTCAGACTAAAGTCGTAACCGTAAGGCAGGAGTTGTCCTTCAGCCGCTCCATAAGTCCTTCCTTTGGTTTGGAGTGCCATCTGCACTCGCCCCCTATCGTCCGGTGAAGCTGTAAAGGCCAGCTGCGGCCAACAGTATTAGAGAAGAAAAAAAGAATTGTAACAATCCCTTCTCCCCTGTTTTGTGGTGGGTAGGGTCATTAGGGTACCTAAAATATGGTCGAGCGCAGTGATGGCTGGCTCATCCGTCATATACGAGTGCTGCTTGTAGGGACTGGTCTGCTCTATTCACTAAGACTAATATAATCTTATCTACTCAACCAAAAAAAAGGATATTCGAAAACCTGATAGATTTTTTTCTACCAAAAATCTTGAGTACAGATTTTTTTTTCTCCGAGTACATTTGCGATCAGTCCCAGGACTATAAGCGAATATGTTCTGTGATGCTGTCATATAGAGCGACTTCCCATTGGGAACCTTACTCATCTGCATCCCAGAGCTACTGCCGATCTTCTAGCTCCAGGATATGATGGCGTTTTAGTCGTCTCACATGCTGTACTATGGTGAGTTGTCGAGCAAGTTTGTTGGGGTGATGAATCAACCGTTCCTTATATTTGGCTGCCAAATTACGAATTTCCTCCTTCACTGTTCTTATTTGAAGGTGATCATGAACTTTAGTGTTGGTTATGTACCGTGGTATTTGTGCAATGGTTCTTAAAATATTGTTTTGTTGGCGCTGGAGAATATTTACG